TTTAGCCACTGCACTACTAGGGCTCCTTATACTTTATATAACTACATACCTTTTTTCAAGGCAAGGTTTATTCACTTTTGTAACTGTCTATTCCCAAAGCCACTGGATGGCTTCAAATCAAATACAAGCCAGCTCAGTTCAGTACAGCATCCAAGGCCCATGGACTCCTGACCCAACTCACTCTAGCTTTACCAGCCACAACTCAGTCCCATGACTGACAGTGACACTAAAGCTCTGGATTTATTAGTTACACCTTCTGCCTTTATTAGTTATACCTTCCATATCCACAACTGGCTTTTTTTTTTCTTTCCTTTTTAAGATTCAGCTGAAACCTTCTAATGCCATTAAATGTCTCAATATTTAGTGCAGAATTATCCGTTATTGGTTGCTAGAGATGAACCTTTAATAAAGGTTAGAAAAATGTTTTAGAATCAGACTGTATCTCTCAGGATAGTTTTAAATATCGGCCGTGTGTAAAATGTGAACTTCAATGGAAAAGAAGTACGGTGGCAGAGAGCAAGCACACTTGGGAGCCCGCGGGGTTCTATGGTCTTGCCCAGTCACTAATCTTCCCGCCAGTCCTCTGCCTTATGCTCTCTGCACACAACTGCTGTCTTTCAGCCAAACCAGCGGCTACTTAAAAGCAAGCAAATAATTAATTAACTGCAGCAGTGGCATCTAAAATTGGAATGCTAGTCTTGACACAACAAAAGGAAAGTGAGAAAGGAGGCATAGGAGTCTAAGACATCCATTTCTAGGTCAAAAGCAGAACAGTCGATATAAACATCTTGTTTGACTTGAAAATAAGATGTTAAGAAAATACTCAGTTGAAAAAACGAAGAGTTATATAACGGCATATACTGGAACATAGTGCAAGACAAACATCATATAAGTCTAGGTTTTATCAAAAGGATTTTTCCCAAGGACAGTCAGTCACACAATCTCAGAAATTATCCCATATTACCAACAGGAAGATGGACAAGTGGCTAAACACTTGTAAAGATAAAAAGATGCAAACAATATCATTAATTATTTTTAGGAGCAAACTTAATGACATGCATTAATATTAAAGTAAATGAAAGTTTTTAAAATGACTATTAAATAAAAATGCACAATAGTTTGAACAGGGAATAAAAATTAAATTGCAAGGATGGAAGCAATCAGATATACATAAGCATGGAGGAATCTGGGCATACAAATAACATGAATCATTAATATGGTGTTATTTTTAAAGAATCGGACATTGAAGTAGATTAAAGCAAATGATCAAAGGGCAAAGATAAATTAGAATTACAATTAGTATTTACCACGCTCTTTTTGACCCGCTATTTCCCTCACTATAAGAGCAAAACAAATGGTCACTGCTGGTCTACCTTGCTTCTCCATCCAGATATAGCATGCACTGAATAAAGGTGTCTTGGCTGTGTCAATGTTATTCAGTAAGACATTTAGTAGCTAAGGGCTTCAGAAGCAAACCATACACTTGCATTTAGAGGTTGTGCCACGGCTTAGCTCATTTATGTGTTTTTAACCTTAAGAAACTGTGGGAAATGAGAGATTCTTCAATTCCCAAAGCAGTATATCTAGCCCCAAATCAGAAAACCCTTTCATCAAAATTGTAGAGGGTTCGGTTATTGAAATGACAAAGCAGGGAGTCTTCATCTTTCAGAGGGGAAACTGTAAGCTCTGTAAATATTTTACAGATGGGCACAGAGAAAAGAAGAGATGCGGGCTCACTAAGAAAAAATATTGGCTTAGGGGTAGTCCCACTAAGGAAAATTTGTAACTTAGGATTATTTAATTGGAAAAGTCAAGGATGAGATGGGATCAGCTTTGGTACAGGAAATACTACTGTGAGTTAATTTTTTCTAGCTATGAGTGTACAGTAAAGTATCAGTTTGTCCTGATGTTTTATAAAGTCATCAAAACATCTACAGATTGAAATGTCCTAGGAGACTGGCGTTCTCCAGGCTGGAGTCTAGGAGCTATCGATGCAGCAGTGCCTCGTTAAGAGGAAGGAGTAGGACAGGGACCGCTACAGGATTACTGCAAACTGAGATGGCATCTGACGTTAAGCTCTGCGTAAAATAGCCTGACCGCTTGTATACTAACAATTTATTTTGTTTGCTAAAAAGTTAGTCGTAAGTAAAAAGAAATAAAATGAGTAGTAAGTTTTTTAAAAGGTACTTCTAAATCCTAGTAGCTATAATATTGTTTTAAAATAAAAACGTACATTTGAATGAATGTACTTAGCACAAGGTCCTTTAAGAACATTACATCTTAACAGTGAAACAATGACAATGAAATGTTTGTTATCTTTCTGTGGGGGTGGGGGAAGCCTAAATGCTATAAAATAAAAGCAATGATAAAAAAATCCTAAATTACTTGCTGTTGTCCAGAGTCGACTGAATGATTTAATTTTCCCATAGAATTAGCAATCACTATTTACCTTCCATACCGAGATTGTTTGGGGGAAAGAGCAAGTCTATGAAGATTTTGGAATTACTTAAAATTTCTCTATCCACTTCTCATTTTTAACCTGTGCTAGTTCATGGTTCTAAAAAGAGATGATAATTTTCAGGATTCTGCAAGAGATCCATGTTAAAGAACAACAGTGGAGCTGGAAGGCAGAAGCTTTTGTTACTTTATTGTTAATCGATGAATGTTTCCCAAAATTATAGTGTAATTGTAATTTAATAGTACAACACAAAGTTACGCTGCTGGTAAAGCCTGTTGGGACTTAGCAAATATTTATGACCGTATTTTTACATTGCTAAATGAACATGTGCTCTCATTGTTAAGGACAGAAGTTCTAATTCATATAATCACTATGAAAACCCATATTACAAATGGTTGTTCCTGGTTAGAAAAATTCAGCTTAAAAAATGATGAAATCCATTTAACCCTAATCTAGAAACAGATGATAAATAGCAAATATAACGTAGATTTTCAACACTGCTGTCAAACTGACGTAGCAATGGTAGCGCACACAATTCAGATATCTGAAGACAATGAATAATGAGCCACTGGGGCTGAGGTGTTCGACTTCAGTTGCATTTGCTTGTAATGCCTGCTACGTGTGAGCACTTGTAATGCCTGCTAAGTGTGAGCACTTCGGTGTTTCAGAGCTTGAATCACAGGGCTCACCATCTCGCCCTCTGATGGGCTGCAGGTCAAGCCATCTGCTCAGGCACGTGTGCAACCACTGGACAACAGTCACTAAAAAGTGAGCCAGCTGTCTTGTACATAAAGTTCAAAAATATATTGTATGCAACCTTTCCTTTTCATAATGTCTGCCCAGATTAATCCTTTAAAAGCAGGGAAAAAAGAAAAATAGCACAAGAAGTATTTTCAGATATAATTAGAACCTATTATGCATGAAAAAATTTTAATGGCAATTTTAATAAAAAGATGTAATTTGGGTGCATAATACCAAATGGCTAATAGCTGAACCACACAGAGAAAACAAGGCTACCTTATCTTCAAATCTAGGTATTTTAAAATGAATAAAATATGAGAACATGTTGTCTGGAAAGATTTTTTCAGTAAGACAATTAATAAAACCTAAAATTAAAGAAATCTAAAATAGAAATAACAAATTTTAAGTATTCTTAAATTGATTTAAAAAATAATCACAATGATTTAGAAACCAAATATGCTCAAATGAATATGTGGTAATTATATCAAGAAATGGAAGGTACAGACATTCTTCATATGCTACAAGGGCAACATATCTTTCTCCCCCTTTCTCTCTCTTTCTCTCTCTCTCTCACACACACACACACACACACTCAGGCATACAACAACCCTATAGGAAGATAGTTATATCAGTGAGCATTTATAATTGTAATGTATCAGAGTCCCACAATTCATCTCAACAAAAAGGCAATTAAAAATTTTAGCACACTTAATATTTTCTGAAGGAAAATTAAATCACAAAAATATTCCTTCATGACTGAAAGGATTACCATGTGTTATAAAACATATAGCTTAATACTCCATTATGTTTGAACAACCAGTTATTGCAGGTGTAGTAGTGAGGTAGTATATATCGTCCCTACTTGGGACAATTGTGTTCATATGCTGCCCTTCAAGAAAAATCCCAAGTTTCTCTTAATGATTAAATCAATGTCCAACAAATGTATATTTTCTTTTATTAAAGCATCTGCTTTTCTGAATTAATGTATGAAAGAACAGTAAGATTCAAATCTTTCAGTGATAACTTATTTTCAGGTAATATTTCATCAATCAATTCTACATCTTTAGATAAAGCGGCAAGGAGAGCCATCAAAGGATGGCAGGAGATGAAAGACCGAGCAATCAGCTGTCATCGATGATGACAGTAAAGTAAGCATATATCAAATTTCCAATAATATAATTAAATTTGGATTTTTAAAAAAATAACCACCAGCTGTACACTACAGTATTAAAATGTTCAAATCCTTTTCATGATTCATAGCCACCTTCTACATAATGATTAAGGACTGCCCACCCTTCCACCTACCCTCATTTTACACAGTGCCAATGATCTGCATGAAGGTGGGATTATGGCTATGGGCATGGCAGGGTATGAGAAGGCACACTGAGAAAAAGGTGGGGAGAGAACGTGGAAGGGGCAAGAGAAAAGAGAGTACTCTCTCTAAACACTTGTTACCATTATTCGTTTAAAATGTTCAAAGTGCTCAAACCACACATACACAGTTGACAGACATGATAATTAGTGTTAATATTCAACCGAAAATAAAAATGAAAAACGAAAAAGAAGGTGATGGAACACTGTCTCCATTCCCTGGCCCCAAAGGAAAAGAAAACCAAACATGATATCACACTGCCTTAATGTTGAAGAGTTTCCCCTTAAATTTGTCTCTTAGCCACCACAGTCAAACTGTTCTAAGTGCTTTGGCAAGGTGAGATGCATTCCATCACATCTGCAAAGGCCTGCTTTTCTCTGTTGGTGGTTCAGCTTATGAAGAACACGTATGCAAAGTAACAGCTCTCACATTGCTTCAAACTCATCAATACGCTGCTTTGTGTTGCCTTGTCGGATCTGCCGCAGAGTCTTGTACTTGTCGCGGCCGGCTTTCACATTCTCAGCATGAAGAACATCGTTCTGTGTTTTCTTGGTTTCATCTCGGGCTTGGGCTAATTCTGAACTTAGTGCCTATGTTTAAAAAATAAAAAGTATGCCTATCATTTTTTTCCTCTTAGATTCATAAAACTGCTTAAAGATTTTATTCATATGTGTGTGTATACCCCCAAGTCATATTGTGCATGTGGGGTGTACACACACACACACACACACAGACACACACAATCTGACATTATATTAAATTTCCACCATAAAATATATTCTTGAGATTATAAGTTTTAATAATGGTGGGGAGAGTGGCCTAGGAAGAAACATAGTCTTTGATTTCTACATATATAAACTATGGTTGTATACTGAAAGTCTATATAGCCCTTGTAAGCCCCCTCAGGTGGTATAAGTGATTAATAGCCCCGGCTGTTAACCATAAGGTTGGAGGTTCAAGTTTACCCTGAGGTGCTTCAAGGAAAAGTGCTTAGTCATCTACTACCAACAAATTAGCCATTGGAGACTCGTGGAGCATAGTTCTGCTCTGATAGGCATTGGATTGCCAGGAATCAGAATTAGCCTGATGACACTGGTAGCCATTATAATGTTACTTTAAGACTGGAAATCTCTACTATGAGAAGAGCTTTCTTCAAAAGTCTTGAATATTTCTTACAATAATCACCTCATTTTCTTTAATATTTGAAGAGTTCACCAATCCAAATTATACCTAGAAAAATGTTCTAGCAATACTAAAAGTTACCATTTGGTCAACTTATATAATTTAATAAACTCATCTTTCTCAATGATAAAATCTGAATAATTCAGATTACATAATATGTTAAAGATAGTCTATGTACACTTTACTGTTTAAAAACTGAATTCACTCATACTTCCTAACTTCTAATATGGGCCCAGGTACATAATTAAATAACTCATTTGTTAAGTCCTGATTCCACAGGGGTTAACAAACAATGAGAAGAAAAGGCCTAGAATTCACTTCCGAGAAAATCAGCCATTGAAAACCCTATGGAACACAGCTCCGCTCTGAAATACATGTGACTGCCCTGAGTCACAGTCGACTCAGTAGCAAATGGTAGGGTAACAAACATTTGAACATGTCATATACTAATCTGTTCAAGCAACAGATGAAATGAACCAGCCAATTAAAGGCTTTCAAATACGAACACCCTCCTTTGTAATATATTTGCTTGAATAAATGGAGAAATGCGGGCTACAATTGAACTGCGCATAGAACTGCAAGTGTGTGAGTACCTGGAGTTGTTTCTTAACACGCTCGTTTTTCTGTGTCTCTGTCACGCGCTCTTCCTCACTCCTGTGGTGCGTGAGCCCTTCGCTGGACAACTCCGCACTGGCCTCGGCACTACTCTCGTCATGCTCGTCGTGCTCACTCTCGGCTGGAGGAATGACTGGTGGCGGCGGCGGAGGGGGAGGGGGGGCAGACATCACAGTTTTTAACTCTTCTTTGGTCTTTTCCAAGTCTTCCTGGGCCGCAAAAGCCTGAACGTTAAAAATAAGTTTATAAACAACTGCCTCTGAAATTTGATAATAAAAAGGAATGAACATGCCTTTATCTTGCCTTTTAACAGAAACTACATACAGGGCCTACTGACCAAAGCGGTATTTTTGTTGCCTAACATAGGAGTGATGACTTAAAACAGAAATATTTTTCAATTCCTAATAAGTCCACCACCATCAGAGTCAGTGCACTGTACTGTGGTGACTTGAATGAGGCGGTGGTGTTGGAGGCCATAACTGGTATTTCAAATACTAGCAAGGCAGCCAGGCGGGGCAGATTTCAGCAGGGCTTCTAAACCAGCACAGCCTGAAAAAAGACAGGTCTGGCAATATAGTTTCAAAAATTAGCCAATGGATCATTGCAGGACACTAGTGGTCCAACTTGTTAGCTTTAAACACTCCCTCAACAGGGAACATTCGCTGGAAGAAGACATTAGGTTTGGTGAAGCGCAGGGTCAAAGAAGGTGGAAAAGACTCTTGGTGGGATAGACTGGGAGAGTAGCCCCACGAAGACTCAACATGCTGACTAATGCAGGGCTGATGCAGGGCTGGGTAGCACTCATTCTGTTGTACTTGAGCCAGAGTCAGCTTGCTATTATAATAAAATTACCAGTTCTCACATGGACTATCAATTGTTGCTAAAACCATGATGTTGGTGTGACATGGATATTCATATAATAGCAAAAGATGTCACAGCTAGTAGATTCCTTTTCAGCTACCAGGGGAAAGATGTAAACAGATGATGAAGTAATCCAGATTGCCAATATTCTAATCCAGTGATCAATTAAAACTAATGGTAATGTCTCCTGATAGGACATAACATGAAGTACCCAACATCACCAAGCAATTGAGTAGATCACAGTGTCCTAGTGCCCCTTTATATAATGTTCTGGTATAATGATTACCACCCTTTTTTCTTCCAAGTGTGCAGGTTTGGATGATGTATTATATGGATCTCCTACATATAATGCTCCTTAGCTGAAAGTATTTAAACTCATTATCCAATATGGCCCACCCCTCCAAAGCAAGCCCCATGTCGCATTTGTGTCCTTCAGGCAATGGCAGTTTCATCTACAGGCCGTCCCCAGGTATGAATGTGAAGTGACCCTGTCTTTAAATTTTGTAGCTTAGCCATACAGTTCTTACTTAACCTTACTTGAGTGCAAAAAAAAAAAAAAAGGCTCAAAGCCTTTTCAATGCTTTAAAGAGCTGCACAAGCTACAAGTAAAAGTGAGTGCACTGAAGAATTTGTTGCAAAGAGGGGCTGATTCTACCCTTCTACATAACATTAACGCTGGGTTTCAAAGATAGCACCATCAATATTCCATATGCATATTAATATTCCAGAGGACTCCTGGTGGTACAATGGTTATGCATGGGGCTGATACTTGCAAGGTCAGCAGTTCGAAACCGCCAGCCACTCCAGGGGAGAAAGATGAGGCTTTTTACACCTGTAAAGTGTTATTAGTCTCAGAAAAGCACAGAGGCAGTTTTCTACTGTGTCCCAAAGGGTTGCTGTGAGATGGAATTGACTTGATGGCAGGGAATTTTTTTAGTCTCAATAATCCAATATCATGTATTTAGCTCCTTTCTGAAAGGGCGCACTATGCTTCTGAGCTTTGATCTGCTATTCTTCCCACTCCAGTGACTATGAAAAAATCAACCAAGTTGTAAAAATTCTAGTTTATTCCTGTTTCAGTTTGTCAGCCATGAAAGAACTTATTGGAAGCTTTGCAATGAAGGATAAATAGGAGTTACCTGTAAGTCAGTTTGACAACCCGGAGACTGTCTATCCTTGCATTAGAAATCTCAGGATCATCTTCATTGCTTCCCTCTAATTCAATTCCATAGGCAATCATTTGGCTGTTGTACTCTTCTGAATCTACCATAGAACACCCCTCAGTACTTCCTGGTCCTCTTTATGTCACTGCCAGTGCCACTGAGCTGACTCCGACTCACGGCGACCCCATGTGAGTCAGAGTAGAACTGTCCTCCATAGGGTTCTTAAAGGCTGTTGACTGGAAGTAGATTGCAAGCCTTTCTTCTGAGACACACCTGAGTGGACTCCAGCCTGCAGTGTTTGGGCTAGCAGCTAAGCACACTAGCCGCTTGCACCACCCAGGGACTGCTGTTAGATCCCTTATTTCGATCTTTTTCTCTGAAGTTATTGTAGTCACTATCCCAATCCATCCTTGACACTGCTTTCTAAGTATCATAAGAAACCATACCTGATATGTTACAATCCTGTTTTTTAACCTTTGGAATCCAATGCCTATGGATACTTCCCACTTAAAAACTCTTACATTAACAAGGCATTTAAAACCTTTTACAGCTTAACTTCTGAGATCTAACTTTCCAATCAGTTTTCCCAACATTTCTGAGCATCTATAAATATTGAGTCACCTACTGGTTGTTGTCGATACTTATGATGTTCCTCTACCTCGAAAGACTACCTCTTTAGTCTCTACCCACTCCTGACATTCCCTACCTGCGAATTTGATTACTAAATTTATTATTAAACTTTAAAGTGTTTCCCCAACAATACCTCATCCCTCAAAGAAATTAATCACGTCCTGTGTTCCCAAGTACTAAAGTTTGTATCAATAAGTTACATACTCATACACAACATTTTTTACGTTTTCATTTTCCGATCTAAATTGTGACAGTATTATGGATTCATCTCTACAAATTCAGCGTATTGATGTGTACAAAATAGGTATTCAATCATGCTGTTGAGTGGACATATAATTACTTTGTGTTGCCACTCAGTAGCCTCTTCTTCCTTTTTCTTCTTGGCTTCTTCTAAAAGTGCAATCTTGGCAGTGAATTCAGCAAGTTCTGCTGCCTAAAATAAAGAATATTATCAAAATTGAACAAATATATATTTTCAATAACTTTCTAACATGTTAAATAAACAAAGCAGGTTCTTTTATTTGATTTTTAAAATAATCTTCTATTTTTAAAAAGGCAGTATTTTCTCTAAGATCATACCTATCTTTTTTATTTTACAGTATGGCCTTCAAATGAGCTAGTAAAAAGACAAAATAAAATATGCTTACTACTCTATAAAAAAGTGTTTAGAGTAACGTGGGTGGGTGAAGGGAGACAGTGATCAGTGTAAGATATGAAAACAGTAATCATTTATCATTTATCAAAGGGTCATGAGAGTGGGAGGGGAGGGAAAAAAGAGTAGCTGATATCAAGGGCTCAAACAGACAGTAAATGTTTAGAAAATGGATGATGGCAACATATGTACAAATATGCTTGATGCAATTGATGTGTGAAATGTTATAAGAGCCATAAGAGCTCCCAATAAAATGGATTTTTTTAAATGGTGGTTAGCCCTATTTCAGTAGTCTGAACTTAAAAGAGTTATTTAAGGTCTAATATTTTAAAACTTTTATCAAGAACTAATGATTAGCTACAGACTGCCAAAGGAAAAATTTAGGTTTTGATAGTGCTTAATAGTTAAGACACTTTGTTAAATAAACCGATGTGTTTCCCTAACAATCCTAGTAAGCAGCATTCTTTAGGAGATTTCAAATCAGTTAAGTCTAAATGCTAGTAAACACAATCTCCTTCATAGAAAACGGTGTTGCCCATTGCACAGCACTCAAAATTCTCGACCGGCTGAGTCAAAACCAATGGCCCCAGCTGCTGTGCCAGTGTGAATGTGAGTCAGGCTTCTGAAAGGGCTCCCCTACTCCTCAATCAAGTCTCAAACTCTACGATTTTGATCTGTCATTTTTATCATTTCAGCTCACATTCTAAATCACTTACATTTTTAACATTTGGGTGTTTGTTTGCTTTTTAATTTGTATAGTGCATGAGGTAAAGTTTTACGGAGCAGCACATCAGTTTTCTATTCAATAATTAATATACATTTTGTTCAATTCTTCCATTGCATTCCCTCAAAGTACCATCACTTATTCCACTCCCTGTGTATGTTCCTCCTCGCATCTCTCCTTCTTGTCTAACTCTCTCTAGTTTGACCCTGGGTAAATGCTCCCCCTTTGACCTCAAATGGTGGATGATTCTAACACAAGGAAATAAGCTCAATTCCAGGCCTGAAGGGTAAATATCGGGGCCATAGCCTTGGGGATTCTATCCAACCAGTAAGCCTAGTTTCATCAGGTCTGTTTTGGTTTTGCTTTGTAAGCCATGACTTCGTTCAAAGGAACGAAGCAAGATCCGAAAGACCCAAAGACACCTAACACAAAATATCTGATCTAACACTGAAATCCAGGGTCATCTAAATGCCATGCCAGTCTTTATTACTCGAAATTCTATTTATTCCACAATAACAGCCTATATTTATCTCACAGAGCCTGAAATTCACAAGGCCTATTTAACTATAGCAAAACACACCCATTAGTTTATTGACAAACCTGTCAGAATGTTTAGTAAATCAGAATCTTTTGTTGACAAGCTTCTATTTGTTTAAAAAAAAATGTAAGGGAAAATCTTTGTTTTCTATAGGCAGGATAAAAAACTTTTCAACAGTTCATTTCCAACCCTTCCTTCAGTTACTTGCATAATACAGTCCACGATATCACTGAAGTCCCTTACGAGCTGTTCCTGAGTCTTCATTTGGTCCGCAGCCTGTTTCTCTACAGCGGCTTTGGCCTCTTCGGCAGCCCGACGCTCCTTTTCCAGCCGCTCGGCTTCTTCTTTGGCTCGCTTTCGTTCCTGGTCCAGCTCTAGAGCTCTCCGAGTCTGTTCCTCCAGTTCTATGAAATATGAGTTTGTTACCCCACCAAACAATTGATTTCAATTGTTCCATTTATAAAATTAAAAACAGCAAGGAATCTACTGTTTCTCACAATCGGCGTATATTACATAAAAGCAGAAATACCTCATTTTTACCTCGTCAAAAGATTTTTAAAAATCTATTACACAATTCAGAAATGGAAAGAAATTAAAGTTCTTTGTCATTCAAATAAGCCAAAAAGCTACATGCAATAATGTGCTTAATTTTCTAAATTAATCCCTCCACTTTAAAGTTTTGTTTTGACATTAGTAAACAATTTTGACTTTTGATTCAGATATCTACCTTAAACTTTATTAAGTTCTTTAATTATCTAAAGTATTACATAGGCAAACTAAAGAAATTCAGGTTGAAAACAGTATTAGCCTGAAATAGGAAACTTGATGTGAATTATTTGAAGTTTTAAGAATTAAGCTTATGGTTCATATGGCATAAGAAAAATAATCAATACTGAAGAAATAAATTTTAACCCTTAAGTGTATTAAAAAACCTCAATGCCCTTGAGCAGACCCTGACTCATACTGACCCTATAGGATCAGCTAGAACTGCCTCTGTAGCTTTCCGAGGCTATAAACCTTTATGGGAGTAGAAAGCTTTATCGTCCACAGAGCAGCTGCTGGTTTCGCACGGCTGATGTTGCAGTTAGCAGTCCAATGCATAAATGCTCTGCCACTAGGGCTCAGATCACAAAAAGAATCCCTTTCTCTTAGCTCTACTAGGTTTTGGTGGCAACGTCAGGGTAAGCGTCGGAATGCTCTTCAGCAGCCGGAAGTTAAAGGTGTCTGCTCCCGTAAATGATTTGCAGCCTTGGAAATCCTGAACCGGGTCGTGGTAGGTTAGAATGGACTCACTGGTAGTGAGTGGACTTTGTTTGTATGAATTAACTAGAAAAGATTTATCACTAGTAAAAACTAGACCACCTTAAAACAGTGCATACTAATTTTAAGTAGTGAGCGTTGTTTTATTAACTTTCATTGACTAGAAAGTAAGTTTTCTGTCAGAATCAACAAAATGGTATGTATTAATGAAAGTGCTAACTCAGAGAAATATGCTTCCTTATTCCACCCTTAAGAGGGAGAGAGTAAAATCTATATGCCATCACGTGAAAGATAACTATGATGAACCAACTCTATTCTCCAGTTTTAACTTTGTTGGCTTTAGGCAGAAGCCATTTAAGTAACTAGAGTTAATATTCTGGAGGGTTTGAAAGCCTGAGAAAAGAAAAAAGACTCATTGGTTAGGCTGTATATTCTTGTCAATAAAAATTAAAAACCATATGTGGCCATTTATCTATGAAGATGATCCACATATTTTTATATAGCATTAGATGTTATCAGAACTAAATTCTAGGACTAATTACTTTACAACCTGTCTTCTTAAATAAAGATAGCCTATCAATGCCTTGGTCCTGTCACAATCATTATTTGTTCTATCTGGTTGATTTTCATATCAAGTCAATCCCACAAGCTGTCTAAGCTTATCACTCATCTAAATAAGCGAACATATAATTAAGAAGAGTTTACTCAAAATAACAATTTATTTTCCCTTGTAATAACACTCTTCCTGCACCATGAAATAAGAGAAATAAATTTGGGTTACAAAGTTAAATTTTGAAATAAGCAATGCAAATATTAATACTTTTCTATCATCTTTTTATGATGTCAATTTGAAAATAATAATAGAGTAATGGCTGTTTTTGTCATTAACTAGGAACTATGCAAAAGTCTTATTCTTTTTCATTGTTAAAAGGGAACTCTGAAAACATCAAATTCATTTTAATTTCTTCCAGAAAGGATAAAGATTTCCCCTATTTTCCTTTATATTTAATTGAGCTAGAACAGAGGTTGGTTGACAAACTATGGCTTGTGGGCTAAAAGAAAATCAATTGCTTTAAAAGTTTTAATATTAGAATAGTTCCTTCACTTATATATTGAATATGGTTACCTTCCTGCTACAATGTTAGTGTTGTGTAGGTACAGGAGACACTGTATGTTCAACAAAGCCTTAAATATTTATTATCTGGTCATTTACAGAATATTTCTATGAAACAAATAGGCCTCCACACCAAGGACCCAGTGATAAGCCCTGCAAAGAATGAAGAAATAAGAAAGGTGAATACTATCAGTTTTTCTGTTAATCTTGTTTAAAACTCTAAAACTTAACATTTATGAGGATTGGCATTGTGGAAAGGGGTTATCAAGAAATCCTGCTAATTTATAGTATCAACTCTTTCATAAGAAAGGATAGAGGAAAAAAAAGAGAGGATAGGGTTTATAAGAATTAACTGTTTCTCTCATTAATAGTATCATAGTAGTGCCCAGCCACCACACACAAGCCAATGAGTCGTGCCCAGAACCATATACTCTGCCACACCTGCCTGTACACCACCCATGGTCCAGTATGGCGAAAGTCTGGATTTGAGATCTTAAAACCACTAGGGGGAAATAATATACAAATGGAAAGCTATTTGCTTTTAAAAGGAAACAAAAGCCTTATGAAACCACAGATGTTTATGTAGAGGTTAGACATTGCCTAATTAGACATTAAGTGACCCACACTCACACTTGTATTACATCTAAACAATGAAGGGGATATAGCCATAAAAAGATCTCTGTGGATGACTTTGGAGTGATTATTCAAGACACATGGTTCAAATGAATATAGCCAGGTCCAAAAAAAATTCAGTTTTTTTGAACACATAACAGAAACAAGAATGAGTTTGCGTGTGGATTGTGTATCTGTTTCTTTTCATGTAAAATAGTCATCTGTGATGAGGACTATTTCTAATATTCCCCAACAAAATGACAATGAAATCCTTAAAGTGGACCGAGAGAAATTGATAAACCAAAGTTACATAAATGAATTTGGAGATTGAAGTTCATTGTAAGCCCTAATTTATGAACAATTATTTCTCTGACATAGTCCTACTAGATCAGTCGTTCTCAACCTTCCTAATGCCGTGACCATTTCATACAGTTCCTCATGTTGTGGTGACCCCCCCAGCCATAAAATTATTTTCATTGCTACTTCACAACTAATTTTGCTGTTACGCATTGGGCGACCCCTGTGAAAGGGTCAGTCAACCCCCAAAGGGGTTGTGACTCACAGGTTGAGAACTGCTGTACTAGATATTTACCCTCATGAGGAGATCAATGAAGATATGGTGTTATAGCAAAATGTAGTGAAGAAATAAGATGGTACCTGGCTATCAGAAAGAATAGTGTCTGGGGTCTTAAAGGTTTGTTCTTAAAACAAGTAGCCATGGAAAAGCACACCAGTCTGTGTGATCAAAGGATTGGAAATAATAAAATCCAGGACTGAAGGAGGAACTTGTCTTAGAGCTTAAATTCTGAGCACTGCGTTTGCAGAAGGCTTTTATGGATGATAGTGAATCCAAAATCCATTTGCCCTGTGTGGATTATGCCTCTGGAGAAATCCCTCTGACCACTGATCAGGGATGTGAATAGCCTTGCTATGTATTGGAATGTATTGGAAATTAGATTGATATAGGCATAGTTACGTTAAAATTATCATTTGTTCTACCTTTTGACCTTGTTGAAAACTTCTTCTAGTGTTTATAAGTCTCTGGCTTTCTTTTGGATTGAGGTTTTGCAATGTTTTGTTTTGTTATTGTTGTTGGAGGAGGAGAGATGGAAGATTTTCTTTACATGATATCCAAGATAGCTAAATAATAGACAGCAACTGGATTAATAGCTTCTTAAGGCCATGGCAGGGGAAGTTGGGGGGGGGGGGATACGTAGCTAATAATAAAGAGTACAAAAATGAAGTGTTCTAAAATTGACTGTGATTATGATTATACAACTTTTTTATATTTAAACTACTGAATCGTGGTATATAAACTATATGCTAAAAAACCTGTTGAATATTTTTAAAAGACAGCTACCTACTCCCAATAGAGATTAACAGTAGCAGAATAGAATGCAGTAGTCTGGGAGATTAAGAGTTCAGGACTGCCAAAACTGACAGTTAAAGAGGCCAAGATCCTGAAAAGAAGTGAATAACAGAAAGTCCAGTAGAACATCTACTAGCTAGCTTTTCTCAATATTTTTAATGCATTCATATGAGGTAAGATGCATAGAAAAAACACCTGTAGGTGGCTAGCAGCCTGAGTAGCTCAATACTCGTATAAGTGGAGAGATCAGAGACTACAGAACAGTGGTCGTCAACATTCCTAATGCCACAGCCCTTTTAATACAGTTCCTCTTGTTGTGGTGACCCCCCAACCATAAATTTATTTTTGTTGCTACTTCATAACTGTAATTCTGCTACTGTTATTAATTGGATGGCCCCTGTGAAAGGGCCATTCGACCCCCAAAGGGGTCACGACCCACAGGTTGAGAAGCACTGCTAGAGCGTTTAGTGTGTCCAACAGGGCTGTCAGAATTGCCTCAATAGCAGGTAAGTTTGGGGTTTTTTTGGGTTCACAACACTAGTTTTTCAGATGACCCCCCCCACCCCCAACGTTATAAGGGAAAAGTAGGAAAAGATCAACCTTAACAAAGCCCCAAACCCAATTCAACTCCATTGAGATGACTGGCACATATTTTGCGGATCTAAAGATGAAATATTTTTTAAAGGGAAATACTTCATCAAATGTCTCCATAATTTCTCATACAAAGTATTTGTACATTTAGCCAGAAATTACTAGGCAAGCCGGGACATAGGGTTCAATTATGAAAAAAGAGGGAGAGGGAAAACGGGTGAAAAAAAGAGAGTAATAGATGCTAGTACTGGACACCCCCTTACCGAAGGGTCGCGGGGAGGAGACAAGCAGCCAGGGTGCAGAGTAGCATTGATGAAATATACAACTTTCCTATAGTTCTTGAATGCTTTCTCCCCCCCACTATCATGATCCCAATTCTACCTTATAAATCCGACTACACCAGAAGATGTACACTGGTACAGAACAGAGCTGGAAACACAGGGAAATCAGGACAGATAACCCCTGAGGACCAATAATGAGAGTAGCAATACCAGGAGGGGAAGGGGAAGGTGGGAGAGAAAAGGGGAACTGATCACAATGATCTACATATAACCCCCTACCTGGGGGACGGACAATAGAAAAGTGGGTGAAGGGTGACATCCGTGTAAGAAATTAAAAAACAATAATAATTTATAAATTATCAAGGGCTCGGGAGGGAGGGCGGGAGGGGGAAGGAGGGAATAAATGAGGAGCTGATACCAATGGCTCAAGTAGAAAGAAAATGTTGTGAGAATGATGATGGCAAGAAATGTACAAATGTGCCTGACACAATGAATGGATATATGGATTGTGATAAGCACTGTATGAGCCCTCAATGAAATTATTAAAAAAAAAAAAAAAAGAAATAGATACTAGTATAATAATCCTATAAATTATCCTGTTACTGGGGTTAAAAAATAAGAAACTCAAAATAATTGTTACTAAAATACATAAAAAAAAACACAGGAAAAATGAAACATTTAAGAAGAAATATAATTAATACAGATATAAATGAAACTTAAAAAAAATGCTACAGACTTGAGTATTTGTTAGAATGGCAACTGGAGGCAGGCCTGATCATATTATATTTCAAATACAGTCACCAATATTGGTGAGGATTTCAAAAATTTCATGGGAAAAAATGAAATATAAAAATGAAGGAATTTCCCACAAACGTTTTGAAGCTCCTGTGTATCTTAAAACTGGTTAGAAAGACAAAATAAGAGGTAAATTACATAACCGAACAATGTAAATTGTAGAAATGCAAAGTGGTAGAATGGATTTATTTAATGAGTCACGATTCACTTGGAGTCACCACTTCAATAATAAAATCTAAAAGAAATAATGGTATACTGAAGCATAGAAAAGTTCCTCTACAAAAAAAAATAAAAGTAGGTTAATCTACCTACTACCATGACTTAACTATATGGCCACAATAAACTGCATCTGGATGAGAATTTAGCATAAATTACAAGACAATCATTCAGAATTTCAGACAGTCTGGAAAAGCTTTATTAATTGAAATTTAAAAAACAAAACTGAATGTCATGTGCCGTAAGATGACTGCTCTGAGATTATGTCTTGATAAGGATGTTCTATATTCTTTATCTTCCTTTTATTTCTTTAACGTTTCTTCACTTGATGAGTCTTTTGTACGTAAATCATTAATATTTTTATTATACATCCTAAATAAATGAGATTGAAAGACTTAGTAACTATTCTCTTAGAAAAGGTGTTATGTAAATGAAAAAGTGCTATCATTCAATCTTTTCTTTTAAATATGATTATTTTCTTAAATATTCCTTTTTAACATACTCTACACAAATAAATATGAGACTGTTTTTACAGCATTCCCCTCCTCTTAAAACAAATAAACATACTTATTGCCATCAATTCCAACTCATTGTAACTCTACAGGACAGGGTAGAACTGCCCCTATGGGTTTGGGAGACTAATTCTTTGTGGGAGTAGAAAGCCTCATCTTTCTCCCAAGGAGCAGGCTGGTGGTTTCAAACTGCTGACCTTGTGGTTAGCAGCCCAACTCATAGCCACTATGCCACCAGGGCGCCTCCATTCTCAAAAGTATTGTTTATTCACTCAATTTCACTAAACTCATATTATTAATGTATTTTCTATCTTATCTGTTAACTATATTATACTTTACGTACACTCCCATTTGTTCTACATTTGTATTACCAATATTACACATAATATGCATTTAATAAAGGCTGAAATTGATAGATTTTTAAACAAAGGAACTTAAAATGCCAGTAATAGCATCAATTTGGAAAATAAGAAAGTTTCTTCACTACCCTAAGACATTTAAACTTAAACGGCTTCTAGCTTTTTACTAGTTCTGAGAAGTAAAACTTCTTATAATAAAATTTAGGACCTTGCGATCTCTTCTCTTAGAAATATTCCAATATCCTTAGAATTTCCAATATTATTGGAATTAAACTGCAAATCAGTCTGTGGACTAATGGCAATCTTGGACACCTCTATCTCTAGCCAGCCACAGGCAAATTTGTGCCATCAACTAAGAGCAGCTTCTAAGCACATGGCCTAGCATGAAAAGAGCCTGCTGGTTCTACAATTTAGCATTAAAAAGATAGTTTCATAAGAAGTGAAGATTAGAGGACCTAATGTTGGGGGTTTAAATGGAGAGAAAATGTTTTGAGAAACGATGTACAAATGCGCTTTACACAACTGATGTGTGTATGGATTGGGATAACAGTTGTGTGAGCCCCTAATAAAATGTTAAAAAAAGAAAAATAAATAAATAAAATGCATAGTCTTGTGTTAAAAAAAAAAAGAAGTGAAGATTACATATTATTATTTCTTGAGATCTCATGGTTTAGTAAGAAACAAAACATTTTATTTTGCTCAATGTATCTTGACTAGTGTGTTATAGAAACGGTTTAGCATTTTTTTGTTATAACCTGCTCAAGGAGTAAGTTCTTCCAAAACACATCACCAAAAATCAAATAAACAAAACACTAAGTGTTGTGCATCAAAGTCAGCTTTTGAAGCTTATATTAACATAGTATTTTTAAATGCCTTAAAATACTTCAATGGCCGAAGGTAATCAAGCGGCCATCAAGCTCAGAAGCAACAAAGCCCACATGGAAGAAGCACACCAGCCTATGCAACCACGAGGTGTCGAAGGGATCA